TCCGGTCGACGAACGGCGGCTGCAAATTTGGACTTTCTCCTCTGTGCCGGGGAGGAACATAATAAAAAGATTGGGTAGAAAAATATTAATTTTCCTGATAATTTCTCCGTATTTCTCGGAGGGGAAAGGGAGTATGTACCTTCCCTGGATTTTGGGGGCGGGGGCTGGTCTGTATAAAGTGATAGTCAGGAATTGGGGCAGGGAAGAAACGGGTTTTTTCTGTGGTCCGGCAGAACGGGCTGCTTCGGAGGCGCCTGCTTTAGCCGGCCAGGCATGAGCGGTCCCTTCCACCGAGAGGAGCCACCTTAAGCCGAGGAGGCGGGGGTGGCGCGGCCTGGAGGGAGCCGGGGAAGGCGGAGCGGAGTCTGGGGAGGAGTCGGGGCCTGCAGAAGAGCCGCAGCCTGGAGCACACGGAGCAGGCACCAGGAACAGGATCAGGAGGAGGAGGAGGAGGAGGAGCGGGGCCGGGGCCTGGAGAGGGTCTGCCCTGGTGCCTCGCCGCCGGCGCCCCCTTCTCCCTGCCTCCCTCCCTCCCCTCCCGCCGCCTTAACGCCGCTCAGGAAGCCTTCGGGAGCAGCCCAGCCAGGACAGCGGCCGCGGACAGCACGCAGGCCCAGCCGCCGCCGCGGCCTCCAGTAGGCAGCCGGGTCAGGAGAAGAGCGCCCCCCTCCCGCGTCCCCACCTTCTCTCAAGGGGGAAGGGTTCCCAATCCGATCCCCAGATTGTGCTGCTCTGATAGGGGGGGGGGAAGAGTTTCCTCCTTCCAAACGCACACCCGGGACTCTTTAGACGAGTTCCCTATTGCCCCGTTGCCTCTAGAGGCCGGGTCTTAAAATTTAGTACCCCTTTCTGCCAAGGACAGATAACGCACAACTAGGCCTTGCCTGGTTAGTTGTACACTCGCACAAGTTTTGCACCCCTCCTCACCCTAAGAGGTATATCGAGAATTTAAAGACGACTCTATAAGAGAAAGGGAAAGAGTTCCGGAAGTAAAGGAGAGATTATAGAGAGGCCACCTGTGTCAAGGGAAGACAAGTATTTCGCCATCAGTTAAAACCAGCGTCTAGCACTAAAACTATCCAGTAACTTTTTGGCGCTTATGTTGTGGCCTAAAGGGAAACAAACGAATCCCCTCTACAGTAGCTTATTAGTATTAACGAGGTTATTAGCTCATATAGGGAATTTTATTTCAGAAGTACCTCCACCTCACCTAAATAGAAGATTATTGACTGTGAAGGAGGAGAATTAATATCTACGTCAAATCATAAAAGAAAATAATATTGAACAGCTGCCAAAAAGAAGAGGTAAACAGATATTCTTCAGAGGGGGAAGATGCTTGTTTCCCAAAATGTCCAAAGGGGTGTGTGCTAGCTAAAGAAAATAAGGAACTGCTGAATATAGGAGGAGGTGAAAGTTCTTCCCATTAAAGCTGAGGTGGAGTGGGGGTGGCAACACTTAATAGCCTAGCCATTTAAAAATTTTGAAAACCCAAAGCTGACCTGTCTATTGTTATCGTCATTCATGAGTCCTTCCTAAGGGAGAACTCAGAAAATACACAACAGCAGCACTTGGAACATGGAACCTGTGTGCAGAGGGTGAAGAACATCTCTTCTTTAATAAGCAAGAGATCCACTGCAAAAATTTTTTTATCGTAAGTGACAATATTACATCACACATCTCCTCTTGTCTCCTCTTTTTCTTCAGCACTTCTGTGTACCCTTGTCCTTTGTGTATGTTCTGTTTTTATTTCTGGAAATTTATTACTATTTTAGAAATAGTTGCCTCTGCATTGGGAAACCCCCCACCCCACCCCAGAGCAATTGTAACAACTCCCCTTTGCTGTCTTTTAGTATCCAGGACTCATTTTTTATTAGTTTATTCAGGAAGGGAAATGTATTCTACCATCCAGAATTCATTGGAGAAAGGATCTCAGGAACTGGGAAGTTAATGGGTGGGTGTGGAATATGTGTGATTACTTGGAAAGTAGCATCACATAAGATTGATGCGGCTGCTTTGGGATGCTGTCAGCACAAAGCTCTCTATTCTGAATACTTTGTGGAACTTGAGCTACCTGGCTGCCTGGGAATCATTTAGTATTTGGTATTTTAAGTTGTTTTTTTCTTTATCCCTGTCTTTCAAAGAATAATACGCAAATTCTAATATATGTTAAGGAATAAGAGTAAAAACCCAGAAACAGTAGTTTTTTTTTGTTCCTTATTGATTAATATTAACTGAATTGTGATGCATCTGTGGCGTATGAAATTCAGTGCCTTTGAAGGCTGAGATTTGTTCTACCAGCATGTCCTTGATTTGCTCTTCCTGTGTTATCAAAGAGTTGCAGACAGATTTTGGTGGTGTTGCCTAAGAATCCAGAGTTAACACACAGAACATGGGAATCTTTTGACAACAGGCACATGATACAAACCAACTCTGTAGGAAACTGAGCTAATGCTTCAGATGGCTCTAGGTATACCTCAGATCCACTTTGGGACAATTAGATTTGCAAGAAGGTCCAAGATTAGAAGAGCCTTTTTCTCTATTACATCTAAGTCTACTGTTGACAAATGAATGTTTACAGAGTATTTCCAGAAAAAGTGTGGATGGAAAAAGTTCTGAGATTATGATGATAAAATGATTATGTAATTGATGACATTTTAAATTGTAAGACCATTTTAAATTAGTTATGTACTCCTGCCATGACTTTAAAAGGGTGCAGCATTTAATTGGCTTAATTTAGAACATTTCGATAAACTTAAAAAGTGCATCCACTTTGTATCACATCAGCTTTTTGAGAAAATGCTTATGATTTTTAATAAACTCCAGATGACAAAAAAGGCATTAATTCCTGCTAAAACAGCCAAATTTAAGTTTTTTAAGATATTGCCTGCTGGTATACAGACATGTAACATCTACAGAACCTTGCATTACTATGCAACACAGGCATACTCCTCACCAAACCATTATTTTCTCTAATATACTAATCCGCACAGATTCAGATTGCAGTAATTTAGATCGTTGGGAGTATGTACCATTGAACTCAGTAGTTATTTCTAAATAGATATGTACAGAATTACAGTTACTCAGTCAGCTAAGGAATACTGTTAATCAGTTTCATTAATAAGCCATATATTGTTACTCTGAATTCCAGTCAGTTACTGTTTTTCTCCCATAGAGCTCGACATGCAGTATATAATTCATGATTTTTTGTGTGTGGTTCTTTGGGATAAATCAAATGTCTGTTGTAAAGTTGGGATGAGATTTATACCTCATGGAGTCCCCACTTTTCTTGTTGGTTTTCCTTAATGGATGTAACGTATTAATGAAATGAGATTGAATTTTAGTGTGATAAGAAAGGTAATGTCTGTGGTAAGTGAATGACAAGCAACTCACTTCTGGAGTATATCTTACTGATGGTGGTGCATATGTATGTTCCCATTCTCCATTCCAGTCCCCTGGGCCCAGCTTTATTTCTTGTGTCATAAAATACTTCCAAAGCAGATCGTAGGGTAGCCATTTGGTGACTATTAAATTTTAATTCTGACAATTCAGTTTCAAAGCGAAAGAACTGGTAGAAGACCTAAAGTAGGGTAATACTGAAACCAAGGGAGAAGAAAATAAATGGAGATTTATGACCTAAATCCAGTGCAGTGCTGCTGATAAAACTTGCTTCTCTTCTCACCAGCACTCCTGCATGGCTATGGGTGATTCTATTCCTGCTTCCACTGGATCTTGCTCTTCCATCAGCAGAAATCCACTGTTGATTCCCTCCCAAAGTTGCATTTGTGGAGCCTGTTTTTGAGGGTAACACTCATTTGTATCTTTGGGGTGTAATGGTTCACTTATTATGACCCAGGAAATTAAGGAGAAGATGAAAATAGGAATGGAAGGAAGAAAACGAAACCAGCAGCATTTTGCAGCGGACTTTCTCATAGCTGCTCATATCAACTAATTTGAATGTCAGATTGTCCACTACAGTTTTAGGAATATAGAATTTCCTACTGGATATTTCTGGTAATTCAGAATAAGCTGATTCCTCTCAGATCTCCTACTAAGTGCTGATCACTCTCAGTTCTCAAGTTGATGATTATAAAAGCTTAGTCTTAATTGCGTACTTTTGTCCATTTTTATTTTTTTTTAGTATAATTTATTTCCTAGTAAGCCAGTTTAGGATTCAATCTACCAATCTATAATAGTTTATGATAAAAATATAAGCATAAGAAAAACTGCCTTATAAAGAATGAAAGCTCAGTAAAGTTACTGTACTGTTACTTTTCTTTAAATAGCTGTTTTTTAAAAAGAGAATCTGTCTGGAACAGAGAGAATACACATCACTCTGAGCTGAAAAAAAACAACTGGAAGAAGCAGAATATTGTTACTAACGAGTGCTTTTGACCATGTGTAGACCACCTTTAAATTACTCATGAATAGCTACAATACTCTCTTACATCCCAGGAATTAGGGATCTGTGAGGAATGATGAAACTGCATTCAAACAGGGGTGAGCTCTGGCACCTCTAGTCAGTTTTGCAATTAAAACTATGAAAAAAATCAGAGTACAAAATATTTATTTGCACATCAAATTGTATCAGACCTCAAGGAAACTTAAACGAGTGGGATGTTTAATACTGCTAATCTCAAATAGAATAGACAAACATTTCCTCTAATTTTCCACCAGCACTGGTTGGGGGCCCCTGCCCTGCTTGCGCATGGTTCTGGCTACAACCAGAAACAAATGGGTGGCAACAGTGGTGTTGCATCAGTACTGTACAACCATGCACCCACACAGCTTAGAGGGGACATTGGAGCAGACCCACTGAATAATTTGCTGAATGTTGATTCAAAATTTCTGTAAATTGCATTGAGACTAGCAACAGGATATTAACCAACAGTAATTAAGGAAATGTATGGAAGTGCGAGCTGGACCATAAAGAAGGCCGACCGCCGAAGAATTGATGCTTTTGAATTGTGGTGCTTGGAGGAGACTCTTGAGAGTCCGCTGGACTGCAAGGAGAACAAACCTATCCATTTTGCAGGAAATCAACACTGAGTGCTCACTGGAAGGACAGATCTTGAAGTTGAGGCTCCAATACTTTGGTCATCTCATGAGAAGACCCTGATGTTGGGAAAGTGTGAAGGCAAGAGGAGAACAGGACGAAGCAACCAACATGAATTTGACCCAACTCTGGGAGGCAATGGAAGACGGGAGGGCCTGGCATGCTGTGGTCCATGGGGTCACGAAGAGTCAGACACAACTAAATGACAAAACAACAACAGCAACAACAAAAATTAAGGAAAAATTCCTCAGTAGAATATTTAATCAGTTTTAAGGACCAAGGGGGCATGGCTTAGATGATATTTGTTAAATTAATTTTTTACCCAACATTTTTACAACTTCTAAAAACTTCTAAAAAACCAAAAACAGCCTTGGGAGACTGAAAATTTAAGTGGAAGAAGGGAGGGAGGAAAATTCTTTGAACGGTTCACTGTGTACATTCTTCCATGTAACATTGCCCCTACCAAAACTGCTTGCCCCTAGCAAGCATAAAGTCAGGCATATCCACATCTGTATTATCAGGGTAAACAGTTAATCAGTTTCCAGCTTCCACAGTTCTGTTGTTTTAAACACAATCGTCCAAGCAGTTGTTGGTTTAAAAATGTTTAGGAGAATATTTTGTTTTGTGCATGGTTTACAGATTCAGCCTGAAATTCAGCCTGAAATTATCTAGATTGCTCATGCACAATGAGTATGAAAAATTTCATGGCATGCTAAAAATGAAGAACACTGAGATATGAGTTTAACATGTAGGAGGTTAGTGTAGTCTTTGTCACTTATTGTAGTATCTTGGTGACTAATGCTTTCTATCTGAACATTTTATCATGAATTCCCAGTAAGATGTTTTTGCAAAATGCTAATAATTGTACAAGAGGTTTGGATTAAGGTCATCCTGCTTGGGGCTTTCCCAGATTGAAGCATGCAAAGTTCTTTGTTTTTTACTATCTGTTCAACCATGATACAGAATTCATCAAATGGTTTGGCCTTCTCGTTGCAGTAGTGCAACCCAGAGTGTGAGGATTCTTTGTCCAGTGGCATTAAGTTCAAATCTTTTACCTAAATCTTTGGGTTTTGTTCTTTCTTAGTTCTATCACTGTTGCTCTTCTTTCCTCCCACAGTTCTGTGCTCTTCTCAGTCCATTTTCCTCCATTGTCAAGGGTTCTTTTCCTTGGGGTCTATTTGTGGCATTCATGCAAGAGTACTGTAGGGCAGTTGAGGACAGGACATTTTGGAGATTGCTCACTATAACTACTCATGGTTAATATTTATGATTCCATTGAATAATTTTTATTCAGCTCCTTTCTTACTGTCCTTTTCTCTATATTAATACAAATATGAACTCCATGTTTAAAATGAATTAAGATTCAAATCTAGAGTGTATTGATTTTTGTGTCATTTGGTTTGGTCTCAAGGCTCCATCTCGCTGCAAGAGCAGTAAAAGAGAACAGGGTAGCAGGGAAATTGGCTGCCTTTTGAATCCTCTCCTCCCGACAACTGCTGCCTGGGTTTCCTTCCTTCCTTCCAATCTACCTACCTACCTATTACAAGCTTGGTGCCCTAGTGCTAGAACAGCTAGGTGACTACAAAAAGCCAAAAAGC